GACAACGCCTTTATTCCTACCACCTTATATGAGAGTTACTGCTCTTAAAAAACACAGGGCATCACGGTGTTCTTCCTATGAGGAAAATATGCTTGATGAAAGTATTTTGAAAGCTGATCACCCGCGGCAAACATTTGACATTAAAGATGATCTGTTGAAGGCTCTTGCTGACAAAGCCCCAAATTCATTTGCAGAGATGAAGCTTCCATTGACTTCCATCACTGACCAGGGACGTGACTAGCCCTGCCCTCAGACAGAGTGCATCCGAAAGTGAATGACAAAGCACTTGTGATGATTCCTTTTCTCTCTAACCGTGTTTACTTTGTTCCAGTTGTTATTATTTTCTGCTTTCTTTGGGGCTGAGGTTTTCCTGTGTTTTAGTTTCTTGTTGGGGGAGAGGGTGGTTATATGATTTTCCTTAAATGAACTGCAGAAAAGGGAACTCTTTGGAGACAGTAGCTAGATTAATAGTACAGTAGGAGTATGGCAGGGGAGGTTGGGGGAAAATAGGAAGCTACGAGCCGTGAGCACAAAAATGAAGAAAATATTCTAAAATTGATGGTGGTGATCAGTGCACAACTCTTTTTCAAATACTCAAACCATTGACTACTAATGCTATGTGAATTATAGGTCAATAAAACTTAGGAAAAAATCAATAAAAATGATCTATGTAGACATGGCACATGTCAAATTAGAAATGCTGTAAGCCTAAAGTGACTTCAGAGCCCTGGTTGAGGTAATGGATGACACATTGGGCTGCTAACCTCAATTCAAGGTCACCAGTTAGAAACCACTGGCAGCTCTGCAGGAGAACGGGGAGGCTGTCTACACCTGGATAGAATTAGAGTCTGGGAAACCAGGGGCAGTTCTACCCTGCCCTGAAGGGTCACTATGAATCTGACTCAACTTGATGGCTATGAAAGAAAGAAAATGATTTATGTCTACTTTAAAACGAAGTGAAAGCTTAGTCTAAGACAGCAGTTCTCATCCTGTGGGTTGAGATCCCTTTGGAGGTCGAACGACTCTTTCACAGGGATTACCTAAGACCATCTGAAAACACATAAACGTTTCACAATATATAGTTACATACTGTTTTGTGATTAATCACTATGCTTCAATTATGTTTAATATGTTCGATTTGTAAAAATGAAAATACATCCTGCATATCAGATATTTACTTGACGATTCATAACAGTAGCAAAATTACAGTTATAAAGTAGCAACAAAAATAATTTGATGGTTGGGGGTCACCACAACATGAGAAACTGTATTAAAGGGTCATGGCATTAGGAAGATTGAGAACCACTGGCCTAGGACATTTACATAAGGCAGGCAGGTTTAGACCAATGGCCATTATGACCTAGAAAACTGAGTCCAAGAAGTTATGCCCACAATATTAATCCAAAAAAGTTTTAATTCCAAGTTCTGCCCAACTCTTAAGAATATCCCAGTGTACTGTTAAGAAACTGCAGATAGACATCTTCCAAAAACTTCCCCAAGTCCCTAAAGCTAAGAAAAACACCTATGTCAGCCTTGCCGCCTGCTTCATAATGGAGCTGTTCTTTGAGCAGAAATTCATAACCCAGCAGAATTCTGCTCAATAAGGTAGTTATTGCTTTCTGAGCCTGCCCTTCCTCAAGATGTTGGAGCGTGAGATTCCTTTCTGCTACTCATCCTCCATCTCTCGATTCTATCTGGCTGAATCAACTTTGAAGATGCGGAGGCAAAGCAATTGGATCCCTTGTGAGTGTGCAAATTCCAATGCTTGGTCAACTATGCCCTAACCCTGAAAGTTTTCTTCGGGAAGTTGGGCAAGTATAGATGGTGGTGGTCTGCTGAAACCAGGCGCCCCCGTAGACTGTAATGCAAAAGTCAAGAGTTCGGATTGATGGAGTTGGTGCTAGCTCCTGGAGTTTGACCAGTTGGAACAAAAACTGCACAAATGATTTTATACTTATGAAGCCCTTGTGCTAATCCAGTATTAAAGAGGGCATTTCTTTTCTGAGAGAGAGGGAGGGAGGACAGACACAATTCCTGGTTTTTAAATGAAGTTAGTAAAGCTTCCATAGTCAGGATTTGGATGCTCTCCAGGATCCAGCAAACTCAATGAAACTCAAGGGGGTAGTTTTAGTATTCAAGCCAGTCCTGGTGCCAAAGTCCAAATAGGCCATGCTGGGAAGGAGTGTGTATGTAGGTCACTTCCATGTCTTGAATTTAGACTGGCTGGGTTTACATAATTTTCTCACAATGAAGTCCAGTGACTGCTCCATTTGCTTCTAATGTGTTTCTTGATAGAGAGAAAATTACACCATCCATCCGAAGGATCGTGAGGCCGGCCAACTCACCCTGTTTGCACAGATGAGCCACGCGGCCCCACTCCTCAGCCCAGCGCTTTTTGGCTTGCCAAGGAGAGTGTGTTGAGCTAGCAGTGAGGTTGGGAACTAAATGCAATCATTGTCTTCATCGAACTCAATCAAAAACTCAATTTTGATATAGATGATTAAGAAGTTAATCAAATAAGAAAGTACTCCTAAGCCCGACCTGACGCCAGTGGCATCCAGTTGATTCTGAGTCATAGGGACCCTATCAAACAGAGCTGAATGGCCCCATTGGGTTTCCAAGTCTATTATCTTTATGAACCAAACTACCACAGCTTTCTTTTGCAAAGAGAATAGTGGGTTTGAACCACTAACCTTTCGGTTAACAGCCGAGCAATTAAAAGGTCAACATTAACCACTGTGCCACTAGTGCTTATCCTTGTAAGCCACTAGGTTTCATTCTCTAAGCATTCATCGGACATCTACTATGACCTCATAAGTCTCGAAGTGCACAGACGGTTTGCACTCAACTGCTAATCATGGAAGAAAACGCTGCGTGATCCGCTTCCACTATGTCTACAGCCAAGAAAACCCTAGGGGGCAGTGCTGCTCTGTAGCACGTGGGGTGACAGGAGTCAAAATTGACTTGATGGCAAATACCAACCAACCAAGTACTCCAAATCCCCGTTCTGTCTACTGTTCTGTCTTTCTTTGCCCCGTAACTCACACAGACACCTAACCCCCTGGCGCCCAAGTCAGCTGTCCCTTAGAAGACTGCCCTCCTCCTCGTTCTCCACAAGCACTCCTGTACCACGTGTCAGGAGGACCCAATGCCACCGTGGGAGACTGGGTTTCGCAGGAGCTCTCCCGTATTTGTAAGAGGGGTCCAAATTAGCACCATGGAGCCACGAAGCCTGATTTTGTTTAACCAGCTGCCGTGTTTTAAGTTCTGATTTAAGGAGAGGAGTTGCTTTTCTGTGAATACATGTAAATGTGCTCGCTCTTCCTTGTCAGTTCCCAAGGAAAGCTCAGCGAGTGGTGATCAAGGAAGCAGACGGACGTCAAACAAATCCCTGTCATGGAGAGTGTCCGCGTTCACAGTGCCATCCTCGCAGCTGGTGAATTGACCAGGTGTTTTTGCCCGGTTTCGATGGAAGGTTGTTGCTTAAATTTAGTGCGGCAGTTCTATACTTTAAAAAGTAATATGCGGAGGGGGGAGTGGGGAGGGAGGCGAAAAATGAGGAGCTGAAGCCAGGGGCTTAAGTGGAGATCAAATGTTTTGAGAATGATGAGGACAACGAATGTACAAATGTGCTTTACACAAGTGATGTGTGTATGGATTGTGATAAGAGATGTATGAGCCCCTAATAAAATGATTTTTTTAAATGAGTGCAAGAAAGAAGAAAATGTTCTAAAATTGATTATGGTGATGATTGAACAATTCTTCTTGAGATGGCTGAACTATTGAATTGTATGATATGTATATATGTGCCAATAAAACTTTTTTAAAAGGAAAAAAAAATATGCTTGTGGTTACACACACCCGATTGGCAAGGGGGGGGGGGCGGTCTTCACAAAACTTGAGGTAAATTCCATCATCTTTTAATTCAATTTTTCACAAATATTTGGACCCTGAGTGTTCGTGTGTGAATGTGTGTTTACCAATTCAGTGGGTTTCCCTCCGTTGTTGAAAGCCCTCTGTTGGCTTCTTGGGAGCCTTGTGTGAAATAACAAAATAGCACAAAGTAGGTGCCTTTGAAGAATAGACTGTCCTTTGGTACAGCTCTAGAGGTGCTCAGCCCCACTCAGGATACCGGTGTGTAGATTCCCTCTGAGATCTTTGACAGGAGGGACACCCCTACCTCCTTCAACGCGTCTGGTTTCAGTCCTTGGCATTTCTTGGCTCGTAAACAGATTGGCAAGTGCCGCCTTCCCTTCACATCTCTTACCCTCATTCTGCCTCCGTTGCTCCGTTTTTCAAGACATCACTCAGAAGGGAGTCGAAGTAGGGCCCATCCAAGTCTGAAGTGACTTTGTCTACTGAAAGCATCTAAAAAGGCAAATCGGGATTTCCCCAAACAAGGTCACATTCAATGGCTCAGGGGCTGGGACATCAACGTATCTTTGTAGAGGGGATGCCGTCCGACGCATAACACCCTACTTACAGTCCTATCACTGCATGATCTCATCCCCAGAGTCCCTGAGTGGCGCAAATGTTTAAGCACTTCACTGTGAGCCAAGAGGCTGCGAGTTTGAACTCAGCCATGTGCTTTGGTTCCAGAAGGTCACAGCCTTGGAGACCATGGGTAGCAGTTTTATTCACGCATCTAGTCACCATGACTTGAAACCCATCGAACAGACAGCGACTGATTCAGCATTAAAATTCCCGAGCACGGTAAATCTGATCTCAACTACCATCAAGTTGTCTCTGGTTCAGAGCAGCCCTGGAGGATGGAATAGAAGTGCCCCATGGGGTTTCCAAGGCTGTGATGCGTCACAGAAGCAAACTGCCTCATCTTTGTCTTCGGAGCAGCTGGTGGGTTTCGAATGACTAACCTTTTGGTTAGCAGCGGGAAGCTTAACCACTGTGGCACCAGAACAGCTTAAACCATCCCTCGCTGAGTATCCCCAAAGGGTGGTCCATGAAGTAAAATTAAGGGGTTGTTTTGTCTTATTTTTCAGATCGCTCTCGCGGGAAGGAACCATGGATTGGCATTTCCTGCTCTCCCTCTTGGCCACAGCGACTCTGCCCCTGGCCTGCACCCCATTCAACCCCCTGTCTCTGGAGGAGCTCAGCTCCAACACGGGAATCCAGGTTTTCAATCAGATCATCAAGTCCCGGCCTCATGAGAACGTTGTCATTTCCCCCCATGGGATCGCCTCGGTCCTGGGGATGCTTCAGCTGGGGGCGGACGGCAGGACGAAGAAGCAGCTCACCACGATGATGCGCTACGGCGTCAACCGTACGTGTGTTCTCACCTCACTGGCTGGAGGCCTTCATGGGAGGACAGCACAGCAAGGCTCGCTACTTGGTCATAGATTCCAGCCTGAGAACCCAAGCAGCCTGGCAGGGGGTTTGCTGGTGCCAGGGGTGTGGGGGCCAGTGTGTTCTGAAGGATGGCATTGGGGTGATCGTAGTGAAGACAATGACACTCGTCTCTGAGGCAGGGCTCTGCCTCTTTGGATCAGTCACTTGATCATGCAAAGTCTAGTTTTGGCTCTATCAGAAGAAAATACTTTCCCACTGACCCACCTCTGTGGGAGGTGCTGGCTAAAATAGACATTCTGTTGTGAATGCTATTTTAGTATCAGTTCTCCAAAGAAACAGGGCTGATGAAACATATAAATATGTGTATACATAGAAGAGAGAGGGTGGGATTGGCTAAGGCAGTTGTGTGGATGGGCATTGAAAGACTGCAAAGGAGAGAGGTAATTCTGCCCAGATACAGATGTCCATTCCATGTCCATTTCTAAGCTGAAAGAAGATCACTCCCTAAGGAAGCTTCCCTTCTAGCTGACTGATTACATTACGTTAGATTGCAATATGGAAAGTGATGACAGTATATTAGCCTAGCTTGCTCTACGGAGCAGCAGCTCATGGGATATTTGACAAAACCACTGGGAAGCAAAACCTAGCCAAGTTGACACATAAGATTTACCATTTGTGTTAGGCCAGGTTGACTGGAGAAACAAATCCACTGACACTCATCTAGATGTGGGTGTGTGAGAGCTTTATATTAAGAAGTAATTATATATCAAGCAAACATCCCAGCCTAGTCCAGATCAAGTCCATAAGTCCAGTGCTAGTCCATAAGTCTGCTACTAGTCTATATGTAAGTCCCTCTTCAGACTGAGGCAAGGATGCAGAATGCAGGAACATCACCAGCTGGTGGGTGCAAAATCTTGTGGATCCAATAACAGTGGCAGCATCACAGGGCTCTAGAATCTTCCATCTTGCCTTTTCAACAGGAAGGGGAAGGCAGAGAGAGGAGAGGGAGGGTCCCAGGACCCTTCTTATGAGGAGGTCACACCACAAGGAGGCACCATCAAGTTGACACGAAATTATGTAATTACTACACTATCATACATGTGCTTTGAAAATATGTAAGGCAGAGAGGACTGCCCCATAGTGTTTCCAAGGCTGTAATCTTTACAGAATCAGACTGCCACATTTTTCTCTGACAAAGGGGCTGGCGAGTTTGAATCGAAGGCTTTTTCATTGGCAGCCAGATACTTAACCGCTGCACCACTGGACTGCGTTCAACCAGTCCAGGGTCTGCCAAACCACTAAGAGTTATAACCTCGCCAGGTTGACACATATGTTAGCCATTACACTGGGCAAGTCACCTTTCGAATCTTGCCCTTTTTCTTTACAGGGGAGATTTTTCCAACTTCTTCTAACTCTGTTAGAAAAAGTTCAGAGAATCTTTAGGTCCATGTGATAACTGCAGATGGAGGAGAGGCGGGGATGCGTGCATGTTAAGGGACCCTCTCTTCGTTTAATCACCCAACTGCCTTCCTACGCTGCCCTGCCCCATCTCCAAAAACCAAACTCAACTGCCATCCACCCCCATGCCAATTCATGGTGACCCTGTTATAGGGTAGAACCGCCCCGTGGGTTTCCGAGACTGTACCTTCTTGTAGGAACAGAAAGCCCCACCTTTCGCCCTGGGAGCAGCTGGTGGTTTCCGTCTGCTGACCGTGGACGTCTAGAAAATACTGGATGACTTATCACTAGTACAATTTATGGGCTTTCCTAGCTCGAGCCAGGTCCCTTCAAGCAACACACTTCCAAAATAGCAACTGGATGCTTGTTGTTTGTTCTCGTGCTGAGCCACATCCATTTTAAGTGAGGATTTCTAGTGTGTTGGTGGTACTGGCCTGTCGGCACCTCTCCACCCGTAAACCTACCCTGCCCACCCTTTCTTTCTTTCTTCTCTAAAATAGCAGCACGCATATTGCAGAAGGTCAGCCTGGTTTGCTTGACAGAGTCACCCAAAGGAGCATGGGGGGTGGGTCAAGCACGGTGTGTGCACAGCCTGGGAGCATTCACGTAGGGATGCTCTTGTTGTGGAAGGAGAGGCTAGTTTGGGTCTATGGACGGGATCTGACCTGGTACTTTTGCTGAAAGACCCTGTAGCTTGTGGAAGTGACAGGTCAGCTAAAAGACTTGGATGAGTCTTTTAACCTTTGAAAACGGAAGTCCCTTTCCTTCCACCTAGAATAGGATTTCTGGCATTCACTGTGCCCTGTCCCCACCTGCCATCCCCCCCTCCATCCCGAGCAGATGTTAAGGGTACATTTCAAAGCCCTGTATTGCCCCCAGATCTCTGGCTAGTGCAAACTGTATACTTAGTAACCAAAAGGTTGATGGTTCAAACCCAACCTGAGGTAGTACCACAGAAAAAAATCCCTGGAGCACTACTTTGGTAAGGATTATAGCCATTATTGCTAGGGAACATTTTTTTGAAAGCATTTCATTCATTTTAATGCAAATATTAGTGTGCTTTTTTAAAAATCGTTTTATTAGGGGCTCATACAACTCTTATCACAATCCATACATACATCAATTGTGTAAAGCACATTTGTACATTCATTGCCCTCATTCTCAAAACATTTGCTCTCCACCTAAGCCCCCGGCATCAGGTCCTCATTTTTTCCCCTCCCTCCCCGCTCCCCCGTCCTTCATGAGCCCTTGATAATCAAAGATTCCACAGAAGAATCCTGATCAAGGGGTGAGAAATATAGAGTAGAACGTTGAAAGCTCACTGATGGCAGATTTGATCTCCTGGAAAAATCTTCTTACACGCGAGAAATAGTTTTGCTTCACTTGTAAATGTAAAGAATGTCAGCCTTAAGCCTTGCGTTCTTTCAAACTCTGTGCGATCAAATTGATGACAGCAACTGGGGAGATAGACAGGACTCTTAGGGCGGAGTGCATTTATGTTAACGAAGGAGGAACAACTCTAACTGTTGTTCCCATCTAAGGCGTGAATGGTCATACAACCCGAAGAACACACTCAATGTCACTGAATTGTACACAGAAGCCGTTGATGTATGTCCGCTTTGCACATTCTCAACAACCGGAACAGAGTGAGCATTTTAAGAGCAAGCATAGCCAGGAAAATGCTGTGCAGCTCGCTCCTCTAACAGCTGGGCTGCCGTGAGTCTGAAGCAACTTCACTGCAATGGCTGTTCTGATGCGATACCCGCCCCTCTGGACCTTGGGAAGGCTTGCTTTTCCCTTGTTCAGGAATTTGGAAGAAGGTACAGAGTGTGGAGTGACAGACAGCTAAGCTCTTCAGGAGGCCAGTAGGGTGGCCTGCAAGACTGTTTGGGAACGGTGTTATTGTGGAAATACTCCCAAGAGCGTACAAAGGAGGTGCCGTTTGAGCTCCGGGGAAGCACATTTCATTTTCACAATTTATCTTCCACCATCACCACCACCACCACTCCCCCAAGGGCTCTAAAACCAAATGGAGCAGAAATGAAGGGCTCGTGGAAAATAAAGCTTATGTTGCCATAAAATTAATCTCCTTGCGTTTTTGAGCTTGAATATCAAGCAAAGATCACATTGTGCTGGTTGATGACACATGACTTTTCATAGCCCGAGCCCTTCTTTTAGGTCCCCTGGTGATATTGTGGTTATGTGTTGAGCTGATAAGCACACGAGCGACAGTTCGAAACTACCAGGCACCCCAAGGGAGAAAGATGAGACTCTCTATTCCCATAGTTACAGTCTCAGAAACCCACAAGGGAAGTTCTACTCTGTCCTGTAGGGTCGCTATGAGTCGCAGTTGAGTTGAGTTGGGTTGAATGCTTCTTTTTTTCCTTTTAAAATAGAAGAAATCTTACTGTTAAATCTTTGGCAGAAAGCAGAGAAGTGTTTGAGGGATGGGGACAGAGGGGCTGAAGGATCCTATGGCTAGATTGCCCCTGGATGGCATGATTAAAGTGCTTTCGTAGGATCCAGGGCCCCAAAGGGCCAGCAGGAGATTGAGCCCTAGATGGCGATGATGGTGAGAATGCCTCGAATGTGCTCATCACTAGGAACCTTACTACGGTAGCTATTTCTTTTTAAGAGCGACTTATAATTATAGATACTTCCTTTTCCTTCTCCTCCGGACACATACTTTTATTTATTTATTTGTTAAAGAAAAGACCACTGAGAAAGCTAAAGACTCGTGTCCTATTCCAACTCAATTCGTTACCGCCCTTCTTACTTGCCTTAATATGAGAGACTGTAAGGTCCCTGGTAGCACGAATGATTTTGCTAACCTACCAGTTGGCTATCTGAAGGCACCCAGTGGGAAGAAGGGCTGACGGTCTGCTTCTGTAACGATTACAGCCCAGAAAGCCCTACAAGCTGTTCTGCTCTTGACTCACGCGGGGTCCCCGTGAAGCAGCATCGACGCGATGACCACTGGTGTTTGCTTTGTTCTTGCTTTGTCTTGTTTTGTTTTTCTAAGGTGACCCTGGAGGAGAGAAAGGTCCTAAATGGTCGTGGTCATCTTGTGGCATGTTCTACCTTCTCCTTTAGGAGTCGGGAAAGTGTTGAAGAAGATCAACAAGGCCATCGTCTCCAAGAAGAATAAGGACATCGTGACCGTGGCCAACGCGGTGTTTGTGAAGAATGGCTTTAAGCTGGAAGTACCCTTTGTGACGAGGAACAAAGATGTCTTTCAGTGTGAAGTCCGGAATGTGACCTTCCAGGATCCAGCCTCCGCCTGTGACTCCATCAATATGTGGGTGAAAAATGAGACCAGGGGTGAGTGACTACGGGCCCCTGGAAGCCTCCCCATTTGGTGACATGAGTCTGCTTTGATGACCCCCCGCACGGTTGCTCTTCCTGTGCCGTGTGATGGCTTGTTTGCCATGCATGTCTTCTCCCATTCAACTGTGCAGGTCTCCTGTGAGTGTTTTCCATGTGCGCTCTTGTAAACCAGAGGTCTAAGTAAGACAATCTGGAGGCAAGGTAGGTCCAGAACTGAGATCCTCAAACTTATTTGACCCACCTTACCCCTCTTTTCAGAAACAAAATTCTTCAGCACCCCTCTGGTAATTGAAAACATTTGTACTACAGCCCCCAGTCCTGGCTTAAAGTGTAGGTATCCACTTGTGCAGCCCCCTAGATCGTTCCATGGCCCACCCTCTGCTTTAGTAACCCCTGGTCTAGAAGGACAGAAGAAAGTGAGGGTTAGAAAGACAGAGTTCAGAATCATTTTTCACAGAAGGGAGAAAAGTTGAAGTTTAAATAAGTTAATAAATAGAAGCCCAGCCTTTCTGGGTGTGCTGCTTCGATGGGATTCCCAGCAGCTCTGCATCCAAGTCCTCCCCAGTCATGTCGTTACCACCCTTCTAGACATGAGTATTTGGGAGCCACTAAAGGAACTAGTGACGCCAGAGAGAATGCTCAAGTTTGGAGGTGAGTTTCGCCTGCTAATGGAGAGGGTGCTCCACCTAGTCTGGTGCTCAGTACAATGGAGAAAGAATAGGCAACAAGCAGTGGAAAGTATGCCACACCAATCCAGGCGCTGATTGGAGAATTTGCATCATGGATGTTGAGGGCAGTCTCTGTAGAAGTGATGATGGAAGCCACTGGGTCTGTAGTGATGGCTCCTCTCATTTCTGCCCTGAGCACGTGGTGCAGTTATAAACATAGAGATGTGCTTTTGAGTCTGGCATCTCCAAAGGTATCAATCCACTGGTTATTAAATTATGCCTCACTTTGAACCCCAAACAGTCCCTGGTTATTTAGAGGAACATTCCCCACACAGGAAAAGTACAAGAGTTTGAAACAAGAGCAACTAGACAGACCTGGAGAAAGAGCAAACCGACATGTGGGAGGAAATGCTCGTGGACCTGGCTTATCTGTCTTGTAAGAAGTACAGCCAGAAGGCTCTTAGGGAAGGAGGACAGTGAGACTTGGTCTCACAAACTTCAGACATGTTAGCAGGAAAGACCAGTCCCTGAGAAGTGCATTGTGCTTGTTGTTGTAAGTGAGGAAGAAGACTTGTAAGGAGATGGCTTGACACAATGGTTGCAACCGTGGGTTTAAACAGCAATTATTAGGAGGCTCGCACAGGACCAGACTGTGTTTTGATCTGTTGTACAGGGGGTCATGATGGGTCAATGCTGACTCGATGGCACCTAACAAGAATGATAACACGACCTAAGCCAGAGAGATATTTTTATTAGTTGGGATTTCATACACATATCATTTCAAATTTTACTCACATCAAGGAGATTGTACAATTGCAACCACAATCCGTTTCCAAACGTTCTTTTTCTATATAGACTCCTTGACATCCTATCCCTTTTACCCCAACTCCAGTGCTGTACCCCCCTTCCCCTGAGCTTATTCTACTTGCTGCCCCTCTGGGTTCATTGTTCCTGGGTCTCGTGTAGGGAAAAACAGAAAAGCCTATAACTGAGCTTCAAGCGGGTGACCTCCATTGACATAACACCAGAGAGGTTTTTTTTAAGTGTTGTGAAAACATTGCTCAACCCACTGAAACATTTTAAACAGATTTAGGATCCAGCATAGAGATGCTAGAGGAGCCAGAGGGTGTAGTGGGTGGGTTACCCATCGGGCTGCTAAACCACAAGGGCCGCAGTTCAAACCCATCAGCTGCTCTGCAGGAGGAAGATGAGACTGTCTGCTCCTGTGAAGATTTACAGCCTTGGAAACCCAAAGGGGGCAACTCTGCTGTGCTCCTTGGGGCCACTATGAGTCAGCAGTAAACTGATGGCAGTGACTTTGAGTGATGTCGCTGATGCCCCCTGTATTTGTTGACTGTTCCTTTCCTTTCTCCCTCATTTGAGAGCCGAAAGATGGCATTGGTTGACCTGGGATCCCTTCTCAGCAGGGCCCTGGATCCTGCAGCATTGCAGGCTCCTTTCTGACACCTCCAAACGACCAGGTGTCCTGCAAAGGTGAGGGATTTCAGTGGCTCCCCTGAGGACAGAGGTAGGAAAAGGATGCCACTTGGAACTCTTTCTGTAGCTGTCACCCCACTGTCAGTCACCTTCCTCACCCCTTGTCATTGCTGACTCCTCCCTAATTCATGGCGACCCCAAGGGTGTCCAAGTAGAACCGCCCTCCGGCGGCCGTTTCATGGATGGTACTTCGGATGGCAGGACCTTTCCTCTGGATGACCTTGAACCCCCAGCCTTTGGTTTAGCAGCCTAACACTTAACCATTTGTGTCACCCAGCAATTCCTCCTGACTGTAGAATGGGAATGTCAGATCACAGTAGCTTACTTCTAGCTGGCTTTCCAACACATGGGGCATCATATCAGTTAACATTTACTTCATCTCCGGGGAAAAGAGAGCGATTCTTCCGAACAGTGATTTTCTTCCCCCCCAGTCAGATCCAGTTCTGTTCAAAACAAATGCTCCCCTATAGTCGCTCTACTCTCATGAAATGAAACTCATAGATCATGTAACCTGGGCACCCATACACAGATGTGTTAAAAAATTCATAATGTTTCCGGGCTGTAAAGCCGAGGAAAAGAACGAGCCCGAGCAGCTCACTGGGTAAATGCTGAGCGTGTCGCGTGAAAGGCATCATGGCCCAAGGATAAGGAGCCCTGGTGGCGCAGTGGTTAAGTGCCCAACAGCTAGCAGTAAGGCTGCAGGTTGGAACCTAGCAGCTGCCGCACGTGAGAAAGAATGGGTGTTTGCTTCTGTAAAGCCTAACAGCTTTGGCAACCCTACGGGCAATTCTCTAACGTCACTCTGAGTCCCAGTCAATCCAAAGACAACAGGTTTAGGTTCTGTGTTTTTTCCAGCTTTAGAATAATTGTGAGCGACAGCTACAAAAGTGAGCCACCCAGTGTGTTCTACTGGTCACACCGAGACCACAACCTGTGCCGCCGGGGCTGAGGCTGTTGTTCTGACACAGGGCATACGTCTTGGTAAATTCTGGAGCAGAACACACACTGCTGGCTTCATTTGATTTAAGTGGCGGTGGCATTATTGGCAAATTCCACCTATATGAAAAGCATGCAGAAATGCAAGGAATCGTTTTGTACGTATTGTACTGCAGAAGGAAGTCAGTTTCCAGGCTCCGTTGGTGATGAGCAGGTTCTTCATCAAGGTAAATAGCCAGTGGACGGTTTCCACGTCATGCAGGAACAGGCACCATTCTTGCATGTGCGGGACATGGAGTTTTGAAAGTTGTAGGACGTGGAACAGCTCTGGCTCTGGCCCTTACCCAGTGACACACCCCCTCCCAGAGAAGTGCTTGACCACATGATGGGGCTCAGCAGAGCCCTAGAAATCACAGAAGGGGTCCAGAAGGTTACCAAGCCCACCTCCTGCAGATAACAAGAGCCCTGTGGCACAGAGGCTAAAGCACACTGCTATTAATCAGAAGGTCAGTGGTTTGAGCCCACCAGCCACTCCAGGGGAGAAAGATAAGGCAGACAGCTTCCTGTGAGGCAATCCAGTCAACAGCGTGGGTTTGGGCTACCGATCAAATTCAAGGGCCCGTGCTAGTGTGCCAATGAATTCTCTGTGCCCTACATGTTCCAGCCACACTGGCCTCCTTCAATCCTGACTCCCTGTCCCAATGATGTCACAGCCTCCCATGGCCTGGAAGGCTCTCCCTTCCCCCAGCCCTTGTTACTGTTTGAAATTTCACACCATCACATCAGATGCGATGAGGCCTTGTAGATTGTCAAGTTTGAATCAGTCTTGTCCTTCACCAGCTGTGTGACCTTGGCCACGTTAATTCGCCTCTCATAGCCTCAGGTTCCTCACCTGTAAAATGGAAGCGTAATAGTGAGATCTACTAGAATAAGTGTTACACTGTCAAGGGTACCACTCACAGCCAGCCAGTCAATTTCGGGTCACGGTAACCCTACAGGACGGAGGAGAACTGCTCCATAGGGTTTTCAAAGCTGTCATCTTTTCAAGAAGCAACTTCATCTTTCTCCTATTCAAGGTTTTTTTTAAGTTGATTCCAAATGATAGTGACCCTAGAGGACAGTCTTCTATGTGAAGTGTTTGGTGGAATCACACAACTGACCCTATGGTTCTTCAATGGGTAACTCGCTCTGCCAACCAGGGCTCAAAGCTGTTAAATGGGGGGGGGGGGGTCCCCGGGGGTCCCCCTGGGGGAGGGTCCCCCTGGGACCCCTTGTCTCTCTAAATGGTGTCTTCTCTTTTTTGGTCCTCTTTCACTCTTTAGTTCAACCTGCCCCCTTATTCTATCTTTGTCCTACTCGTGCCAGCTGGAGGCATTCTCTACTTCGGCAGAGAACCAACAGAAAAGGCATCTTCAAACCACTGTCTGCTGAGCTTGGTGCCTTCCAGTCTGTCCCTGACTTACAGTGACCCCGTGGGACAGAGTAAAACCGCACCACCAACTGTTGTGGCCTGTGTTCTTTATGGGAGCAGCTCTCTGGCTTGTTCTCCCGGGTGGGCTTTTTAAGCCACTAACCTTTACGTATGTAGCCCAGCACCCCCTGAGCTGGGTGCCAGAGTGATAAACACGGAGTGGCCGGGTTCTTGCTCTCATGTAATCTCGGGTTTCACTGAAGGAGACAGACGCTCGCTGGCTGGCATCAAGTGGTGCTGGGCTTTGGGCTCGGCGCCCGTGGAAAGGGAGGTCTGTCCTGGGAGATGAGGAGAGAGTCAGAGAGGGTTAGAGGAGACGAGAAAAGGGTCTGTGTATTTGAAGCAAAGGAGGGGGTGGACAACGTCAAGGTCCAAGGCACCAGACAGACATTCACTGCTGGGAAACCTCTGCTGAGGGGCTTGCTGCCTGTCGCTGGAACATGAGGTCCGAGCCTCTGTCCAGGGGACAGCGCCTGCCTGCACAGATGGGCCTTCCAGTCACTGGTGGCTGTTTGACAATGGGGAGTCTCTGGACAGTCCTTCTTGTTAGCGGGCTCACTTGCTAATCAAAAGGTTGGGAGTTTGAGTGCATCCACTGGCGCTGTTAGAAAAAAAAGGCCTGGCTTTTGACCTCAGAAAGTGCCGCCCCTGAAAAGCCTGTAATGCACAGCGCTACTTTGACATCACTGGGGTCACCCTGAGTCGGAATCGCCTTTAGGAAACGGGGGTTACTTTATCACTCGCAGGTTTTGGATATCCTGAACAACGGTGGCGGCCTCAATGCCTCGTGTGATAGCAAGCAGGGATGAAACTGTCCTACTTGGCACACTTATCCTGGTTTATTTGTGGAAAAAAAACAAACCAAACTCACTGCCACCACGTCGATGCCAACTCATAGCAACTCTACAGGACAGCGCAGAACTGCCCCTGAGAGCTCCCGAGGCGATTATGACTCTTTACAAAAGTGGAAATCCCTGTCTTCCTCCCTTGGAGCAGGGGGTGGTTTTGAACAGCTGAGCTTGTAGATCTCAGTCCAACACTATACTGCTATGCTGCGAGGGCTCCTTATTTGTTTATACTGCACCCAGAGTCTTCTATTGCTCCCATCAAATGGGACGGAAAGCTTTGCTGATGCTCTGCTGAACAAACAACACACCATTCTTCCCCAGAAACAGTTGTGTTTATTCTCTGTTTAAAGAATAACTTTCATTTATAGCCTTTAAAAAATATATTTGGGCTCGAAATAGATCTATGTGCCTATATTTATAGGTTTAGTATTAAGGTAGCAGAAGGACATTGGGCCTCTACTCAAGTATTCCCTCAACGCAATAATACTTCTTCTATTAAATTGGCATTCTGTGATGCTCACCTTCCTGACACAACCGCTGAAGACAAAGCGGGTGAATAAGCAAAAGTGGTGAAGAAAGCTGATGGTGCCCGGCTATCAAAGTATATAGCGTCTGGGGTCTTAAAAGCTTGAAGGTAAACAAGCGGCCATCTAGCTCAGAAGCAACAAAGCCCACATGGAACAACATATCCACCTGTGTGATCACGAGGTGCGGAAGGGATCAGTTATCTGGCGTCAAGAACAAAAAATCATATCATTGTGTGTTCACCTCCATGATACGATCGCTGAAGACAAATGGGTGCATAAGCAAATGTGGCAAAGAAAGCTGACGGTGCCCGGCTATTAAAAGGTATAGCATCTGGGGTCTTAAAGGCTTGAAGGTAAACAAGTGGCCATCTAGCTCAGAAGCAACAAAGCCCACATGGAAGAAGTACACCAGCCTGTGCGATCACAAGGTGGTCGAAGGGATCAGGTATAAGGCATTATCAGAACAAAAATCTTACCATAGTGAATGATGGGGGGTGTGCGGAGTGGAGACCCAAAGCCCATTTGTAGGCCACTGGAGATCCCCTTGCAGAGGGGTCTCCGGGAGGAGACGAGCCAGTCAGGCTGTGATGTAGCAACGATGAAAAATACAACTTTCTTCTAGTTCCTAAATGCTTCCTCCCCGCCCCCACTATCATGATCCCAATTATACCTAGCAAGTCTGGCTAGACCAGAGGATGTACACTGGTACAGATAGGAACTGGAAATACAGGGAATCCAGAGCGGATGATCCCTACAGGACCAGCGGTGTGAGTAGTGATACTGGGAGGGTAGAGGGAGAGTGGGTTGGAAAGAGGGAACTGATTACAAGGAACTATATGTGACCTACCTGGGTGACAGAGAACAGAAAAGTGGGTGAAGGGAGACGTCGGACAGGGCAGGATATGACAAAATAAACAATTTATAAATTATCAAGGGCCCATGAGGGAGAGGGGAGCGGGGAGGGAGGGGGAAAAAATGAAGACCTGATGCCGAGGACTTACATGGAGAGCAAATGTTTTGAGAATGACAAGGGCAATGAATGTACAAATGTGCTTTACACAATTGATGTATGTATGGATTGTGCTAAGAGTCATGTGAGCCCCTAATAAAACGATTTAAACAAACAAAACAAAAAAATATATTTGGGCTCAAAGCTGTACTATATTAGCTTTAAGTATTAGTGGTCCCCATTCCAAAAAAAAAAACAAAACACTGCTGAATCTTCAATGACCAAGTAATCCCATGACAATGAAGTCAACCCCCAGAGCAGCTAGTGGTTTCAAACCACTGACTTTTTAGCTAGTATCTGAGAGTGTATCTCCCTAACCAAAAGGTGCCACGGGGGTTTCTTAAGGGCCAAGCAACAAACACCCTAAAGAATAACCAAAGCTTCTGCCAGCGATAGCACTTTCAGAAGAATGGGTGGGGGGGCTGACTTGAGCATCCTCAAAGTACCTGCCAGTGAAGAGCCTGTTCACCCCCAAATTAGGAGTTCTTCCAGGGCCCTGGTGGTATAGTGGATCACATGCAGGCTGCTTCCCACAAGGCCCGCAGCTCATGGGAGAAAGATGGGGCTTTCTGCACCCACAATACTGCACAGCCTTTGACACCAAAGGGGCAGTGCTACTCAGGTCGCTGGAGTCAGAATGGCCTCGATAGCAGGGTGTCCTAGCAGGCGCTTGTTTCTCTTCATCTCTGCAGTATCAGCACCCTGCTCATTGTCTAGTCCTGAAGTGTAGACACCGCTTTCGAGTCTCAGTTCTCGTACGTAGCTCCGGGGTCTGTGGTCGCCTGAGATTCCAAACTAACCCTCGGTATCTCTGAAGCCTTCCGAGCAACTGATTGTTGACCATGCATAACGATGCAGGGGCCGAAGGGAGATGAAATCAATTCAGCTGTTCAGAAGAAAACAAAGCCCAAAACGTCCTGTAGGCTGACCCAGGGCCTTCCTAATACCTACCATGGGTTGGCTTTGAGAGTCTTCATGTCCGTTATCAAAAATCGAGACATTCGTTAATAATTATCACTTTGAGGGAATTAGCGATGAAAAAATTTCTCAGTGAGAAGTTTGAAAACCCTGATGACAACATCGCTAAAGTGTTTTCCCAAATCTCTGGTTTTTAATGTCTTTTTAACGTTCTTCTTTTAACAGGAAGGGAGCATTCGCAAATATAAAAGTTTTTTTTATTTTGTTCTTGTGTTTGTGGGTTGGTTTTAAAAAGGGCTTCTTCTTAAGATCTCTCCCACCCCCGCCTTTGGTTTCCCATTTTGCGTGACCAGCCGGTGCCTCTTCCCCCTCCAACTGGCTTCTTCTTTCTTTCTGGCTCTGCAGGTATGATCGACAGCATCCTCTCCCCAAACATGCTCTCTGGTGGGCTCACCAGGCTGGTCCTCGTCAACGCCATATACTTTAAGGGTTTGTGGAAATCACGGTTCCAACCCGAGAACACAAAGAAGCGAACGTTTCTGGCTGCTGATGGCATGACCTACCAGGTGCCCATGCTGGCCCAGCTCTCTGTGTTCCGCAGCGGTGAGTCCGGGCCTGGGGGGCCGGGGGGGTCAAAGGGCAGGCAATTGAAAGCAGCCGGAGCGCTTTGACTTAACTCCGAGGAAATAAAAGGTGGAGGGAGGAAGGAAAGTGGGATTTAAAAAAAAAAAAAAGTATATATATATATATATATATATATATGGTATGACACAGCTTAAGTATGAATACTTAACATGTATAGGCTTTTAGAATGAACACTTCAAGATGAAAAGAATGATTCACCAAATAAGAAATGTAAGAGGGCCTAAAACCTATGAAAGCACTTTCAAATCTTCTCTTACCCAATTAAAGATCAAAGTAGAAAACAGTAGGCTTTTTTTTAATTTAATTTCCTCTCTGAAGAAGTTAGCAAGCATGACAAAGATGGCCAAAGCCCAGTCCTGGCTCTTTGGGGGGAGTGGGCCTTGAGACCTGCTGGGTCCTGGGAGCATTGCTGCAGTAGATGTCTTCAGAGTTCTGGAGCCAGCAGGCCGGCCCTGAGGAATTCACTCTGTGAAGCGAATCACACACTGGCTGGTCAAAGAGGAGCCCTGCAGGCAGAACGTGAAGCACTCAGCTGCTAGCCAAAAGGCTGGCAGTTCGAACCCATGAAACATCTCCGAGGCTGACCAACTTGGCCGTCGACTCCTATAAAGATGACAGAAAAACACGCCGCATGCCCATCGTCCAATCTGACTCCTAGTGACCCTCTGTAAGGTCCCCAATGCTGTAAGTCTTCACGGGTGCATTCACCCTCTCTATCTGCTCAGAGCGGCTGGTAGACACAAACTGTGCGAACAGCTGGTAGTTTTGAACCACCAACTCTACAGGTAAGAGCCCCATATGCCACGAGAGCTCCTCTTGTAGAGATGACAGCCTAGACAGTGCTCTGGGACCATGTCATGTGGGACCATGGTAAGTCAACATTGAATCCACAGCATTTGAAAACAACAGCAAGCAAGTGAATGGAAAGCCAATATGTTTCTACCTACAGTTGCCAGTAAGTCCTTATCGACACCTCTGGCCATGCCTGTGTGTCTGGGCTAGGACCTGTGTAGTGACTGAGTTTAAATTTACTCCTGCAGAAAGATAGGTCCTCTATGAGGTTGGGTTTAGGAAGCAAGTTACAGACTGACTGATGCCAATTCACCTCATTGACATCAAATATTATAAACCCACACATCAAGTGATGTGTCTTAGAGGAAGCTCAGTAAAATGTTAGTGGTGAAAGTATTTCAAACAAATGATTATTTTTTCTTTATCTGATTTTGAACATTCATTTGTTTATCATGAGCATATGTGGGTTTACATAAGAGGGGTGTGACTAATTTCTATAGCTCGGATAATTGTTTTGTATGCCTAACTTCATTGAAGTACCTGTGATTCGAGCTAAATGTATCCTTTTCCTTCACTATACTTTTCTCTTCCTGTCTAATCTCCACGGGCATGTGTGGGTTGTGAATACTAATTGCCTTTGCATATTCAGTGGGAGGGAGCCCTGCTGGAGCTGTGGTTAGAGCTCGGCAGTGGGAACCCCCGGCCATTCCGTAGGAGGGAGATGTGGCAGCCTGCTTCTTTGAATACAACAGCCTTAACCTTAAGGCTGCTGCCCTGTGATGATGCCCTTCTAACTTGGACACCATCCACTTCCAGAGGTCACCTTTCAGCCAAAGAAGACACTGACCTTGATCATAAACACTAACGTCTGAGTGATACAGTCCTTGGAGACCAAAGGGCACCTGCACACCTGTCCGCCTAAGACTGATAAGGGTGCCCATTGTTTGCAGGCTCCAGAATGACGCCTGGTGGTTTCTCTGTCCTCTGTTGTTGCTGAGTGCCACTGGGTGTGCCCTAGCTCATTGCTACCTTACGTACAACAGACCTTACGTACAACAGGACACTGCCTGATCCTGCGCCTTCCTCATGGCCATTATCTCGGAGACCATTGCCACAGCCACTCTGTCAAACTGTCTTGTTGAAGGTACCCTGCCTCCTTTTCTCTGACCCCAGACTGGACTGGCTATCCTTTTCTGGTCACTGGCCCCTCTGCATAACGTGTTCAACGTATGTGAAATGCAGTCTCTCCATTTTTAATGGCAGGATGCTGTGGGTGTCCTTGTAAGACACGTTTTTGGTTCTTTTCGAAGTCCATGCTATTTTCAATATTCTTCACCGACACCACCGGTGCAATGCATCCATTCTTCACTGCTCTTCCTCATGCACCGTCCCGCCGCTGCATGCTTTATACGGAGCTCCTGTATCAGCTCAACTTAAATGATCCCATCTGATGACCTTTTTCTTGCCGGACTATGGGTGTTGGAACCTTCTCCCGCCATGCTCAGTCTCCCACTTGGAAATGCTGTCAGCAGCTTACTTTCATCCTCTGGTCTTCCTTGTGACACCTGCTAATTGGGTCATTACTGAGTAGCTGGAGTCAGAACATCTCCCATGGGCCCAGTGTCAGGGACGGAGTGTTGTCTCAGCTTCCCAGCCTTGGCCAACCAAGCCGATTTCCATGGCACGGGAAGCTGATTTTGTAAAGAAGGCACAGCCGCCTGAAGTGGCCCTGAGCAAACATGTATTTCCAAGAATACTGAGCCCATCAGCCTTCTGGTGCCTGTCTCCACACAAAGTGGCCACCGGACCAGCTGGAGCCTCAGTCCGTCCTGAGGCTGGTCACGAAGTTCCTACACAGACTCCTCCTGCCTGGGGGGCCTGAGCCAAGCTGACTGCTTACGGTCCGTTTGCTGAAATGTTCTCATTCCACTTTTGTCTTGACTTGCTCCCCACGATGTCATCAAACTCTCTGAGAGGGGCCCTTAGTGACACGAGCAAAGTGGGGAAACAGGAGTAAGAAACCCTTGGGACCGAGCACCGCGTGGCTAGAAATATTTCTATATTAAAAAAGGAGGGTAGCACAGATGTATTTTGTCACGGGGTAACCGTCTTGAATGTTAGTTAGAGGTTGTTCTGTTTTTCAGGAGATGAAACCCAGGACTGATGAACCTATAGAGAGAGTGCATAGAATAAGGGTTCCTGGGGGGCACAGTGGGGGAGGGACTAAAGGGGAGCTGGGGTCAAGGAGTTCAGGAAGGAAGAGAATGTTCTGAAACTGATTGTGGCTGCAATTATACACTATTGCTTGATGCGATTGAACTGTGGAATGAAATGATATCTGTATAAGATCCCAATAAAATGGTTGTGGGGGAACAGTGTGTCAGCCAAAAAAAAAAATTGATGCATTTAAAAAAGGGGTAGTCACTTTAAAACTGGAAAAAAAATAAAATATCCAATTTATTATTTTTTAAGTCCTTAAAATCGTTTTTAGTAGAAGTGTTGGTTTTTTGGCTCATTTCACAATCTTCTAATCCAACAGAAAGTAAAAGTTCTCTATAATCTCACTTCCCCTATTAAGTTCTAAAGGAGCCTTGGTGGTTCAGTGGTTAAGCACCTGGCAGCCAACAGAAAGGTCAGCGGTTCAAACCCACCAGTTGCTCTGCAAGGGAAGCATGTTACAGTTTGCTTCCCAAAAGATGTGCAGGCTTGGATAACTTATAAGGAAGTTGGACTCTGGCCTAGAGGGTGGCTATCATTTGGAATTGACTCAGTGGAAGTAGGTTTCGTTTGCTTGTATTTAGTTCTCTGTTTCCAACCTTTTTTGTGATATCTTAAAAATATACCCATGAAACCGGATACACATAGGGCTACACTGTAAACTCCCTTCTATAACTTTTGTTTATTGGACAGTCTGCCATGCAAATCTATGTTGGTTCATGTGAATCTATTGATCCTTGTATCAAGTTGAATCATAGCCCAAGGTAGAAATGTGCAGTGACGTCCTATGGATGGATGGCCGTTGACTGTTTCCTTCTGACAACACGGGGTGCATAGTCTTGCATGTGAATCTTTAGATACTTGTATCAATACTTTTTAAAATCATTTCCTTGCGTAGGAATGGCTGAGCCACAATGGTTCAGAATTTCATATATGGCCGTGGAATTATATATTAGAGGCTTGTTTTCTTTTGAAAAGTATCAAAAGTATCTCCAGATTAATGTTTTCTGTATGCCTCTGTCCTCTGAGCCTCCTCCCTCAGACTTGTCTTCCCGGGACTTCGGTCCTCGTTTGACCATTACGTTCCGGCTCCATCCAGACCGTTACTGCCATTGACTCTGGCTTGGTGATCTTACAGACAGAGTAGAGCTGCCCTTTGGGTTTCGGAGACTTTCGATCTTTAGGGGAGCAGACAGCCTCATCTTTCTCCCAAGGAAGCGGCTGATAGGCTTGAACCACTGGCCTTGGGGGTTGCCATTCAATGTGTGATCCACGGTGCCAGCTCATCCTACTTCCATAGACTCAGTAGAGTATTGCTCTTGAGAGCGAGACTCCTAATTCTCCCCTCAGTGCCCCTCAGCTCAGCAGATGAAACCAGACCCCACCCAGTTGTGTAAGTAATACCGTCTCCCCAGCCAACTCTCCCCTTTGCACACCAGCCTGGACTATAGGTGAGCTCCTGCAATGGTATCTGGTGCTGAGTGTTTTTGGTTGCTGCTTTGTACATATTTCAATTTGCGTTGAAGTACCGCCTGAGCAGCTGCTTAAGAGCTCATGAAATTCATAAAGCAACTTGTAGTAGAACATAATTAGAAGGACTTTCATCCTAAAGATCCATTCTCCTTGTTCCTACAAGCCAAGAAGAGTGCTCACTAGCATTTCCAAGAGCCCCTGACTTCTTCCTTTGTCAGAAGGAGAGTGGGCACCAGGGCACTTGGGGATGGGGGACATTCCAGAAAAAGCGGGTCACAGCAAATGTCCGAGATCTTCTATTTTCCCTACTTACGCCATTCTTCACCAACTACTCTCCAGGAACAGTTTTGTGGAACACCATTCGCTTCAGAGAAAACCCTCCTCTCTTCCTTGGGTCTCTGCCCTTTGCAGAATGGGCCTGCTTCCCATTTGCGTAGGACATGGGAAATGTTCCTTATTAAGCAGCACTGGGTCCGCTTCTAGCAGGCTGGTGGAGCAGGTCTTTGAAGGTTCAGAAGTGAGAGTGAGCTCCTGCGTGCACTTGCCCTCCGTGGTGCTTCCTGCAGCGGAGCCGCGCTGCACAAGTGTGCTTTCCCATCTGCTGAATGTAGATGTTTTCCTTCAAGAAAGGAAACCTTTCCCAAAGCTTCTAGTACCGGCAGATGAACGCTCATGCTGTGTGCGTGCCAGGCTCTGTGGTGTGCCCTGGGAACGGATTCTTGCCTGTCATTTTCCCAACTCTTAGGGCAGGTCTTGTCACTGCCTCATTTTAGAAAGGGAGAAACCAAGACTTGGGAGTGCAGAAATGGGCCAACCCCACAGTTAGTGAGCCCTTCCCGCCAGGCGTTGAATCCAGAAAGGGTGTCTTTCATCTCAGCCAGTGCCCGCTCTGAAAGAATGCCGCTAGGGTCCACGTGGATGAAGCCCCTGGTGAAGCCCCTCTGACCACAGGCCAGGCATGTGAACAGCCTTGCTGCCATGCAAAGCGCCCTGGCTCGTTTTGCTGCGTTTTGTTGCCTATGGGGTCCTGTGTATAAAATCCAGGAGGGAAAAGCGATCGAGACCATGACTGTGTTGATGGTTTCTTGTGGAGTATGGCAGGGAAGGTTGGGGGAAGGTGGGGAGCTGATGGTGATGGGTACAAGAGGTAGTAAACGTTCTCAAGTTGATTGTCGAGATGATTTCATGGTTCTTACTAATAAGACCGGACGGTTGACATTGTATGATGGGTGAAACATATGCCAATAAAACCGTTTAAAATAAAAAATAAAAGGATTCTGCTAAGCCAGTTCTTTAGTGGCCAGGTGGCTGGATGGGAAAAGTGTCAGTTCATCTCCTGCCTCCCGGAGCCATCAAAGACAGAAGAGCCTGTCAGGAGTGTGGGCCCCTGAGACCCAGTGAATTTTGCCATCCGCTCACCTGATTCGAAGCAGAGGTGGCGCCAGGGTGGAATCCATCGCAAAGGGAGTGTGAGCCCCCGGCCGTACAGTGGTTAGTGGTCTCAACGGCATTTCCCAGGAGGATGGCATGAGCCAGCTAGTGACCCGTCCAGATGGGAGGAGTGAAGCAGGACAAGTAGAAGGTGTCTCTGCACCTCTTCTGCACCCAGCTTCATCACTCAACATCCGGCTGTGGATTGGCCAAAGACCTGGGGGTTTTATTCCTTGCCCCTGCCCCGGGGCAATCATTGATGAACTGCTTCCAGGCGTCCACACGTCTGAAAGCTAGGCCTGGGAGACCAGGGACCGAATGTTTGCTTCGAGTACTTGGTCGTTTGTGTCGTGGAGTTGGTTCCAACGCATGGCAACCCCAGGTAACAGACCTGCCTCATAGGGGTTCCGGGGCTGTAGGCTCTACAGAATCAGATCACCAGGTCTTTGGACTGAAGACTCCTCCCCTGCTTCACTCCCCTCCCTTTACACACACACACACACACACATACACACATTGGGGGGTGGGTGACAGAGAGGAAGGCTCCTCCAGAGGAATGATTCTAAGAGAAAGTATGTTAAATCCTGCTCCACAGAATAAATTTGATTCAGTGATGCCCAAAGGTAGACGGTTATGACAATACATCTTCGCGTGTGGGGAGGGGGGATAGAATTTTTGCCAGGGAAGAAAACAACCTGGTCGATCTCATTTCACATTATAAGGAAGCTATTTTTGGAAAAGGCAAGTTCCCCGGGTGGAACTTCTCTCTTCTCCCTGAAAGCTCCGGTGGCCAGCAGCTGCTCGTGCCACCTCTGGGAGTCCCAGAGGCCATGTTGACCCTGCCTCTGATTTCTTTAGGGTCCACAAGCACCCCCAACGACGTGTGGTACAACTTCATCGAGCTGCCCTACCACGGAGAGAGCATCAGCATGCTGATTGCGCTGCCGACTGAAAGCTCAACGCCCCTGTCGGCCATCATCCCCCACATCAGCACCAAGACCATCGACAGCTGGATGAGCATCATGGTGCCCAAGAGGGTGCAGGTGGTCTTGCCCAAGTAAGTACCCTTGACCTAGTGGAGAGAACTCCAGGTCTGTCCACCAGTAAGGACTGTGTCAGGGAATTGACAATGTCTGGCAAAAACGTGGCCTATCATGCAGCCCATTCTGCAGAGGCCGCGTGATGCCTGTGCCATGCTGTGCCTGTGGAAAAGCTCTGTTTTGAGCGCCTGTGCTTTTGTCTGGCAGGATAATGATGATGGGAAAGGAACAGAGGAGCCTTGTTCTCTGACACTCATAGGACCCAAGTTCCTCCTGACTTGTCTGTGAGGACTTTTTGCTTAATTTATTCCGTTCAAAAGACTGATTCACACATGCAGAACACCATGTGGCATGGTGGAAGTAAAGTTTTCTGTGCCCTGTGAGTTTTTCTAAACTAAACTCATTGCCAGCGAGTCGAATCTGACTCATAGTGATCCTATAGGAGAGGTTAGAACTACCCCAGTGGATTTCTGAGAATGTAACTCTTTCCGGGAGTAGAAAGCGTCATCTTTCTCTCAGAGAGCAGGTGGCGGTTTCAGTCTACTGACCTTGAGGCTAGCAGCCCAACACAGAACCCACTGTGCCACCTGGACTTACTGAAGATTTCTGGAAACCATGGCCAAAATATAGGTGGTGAGGCTATATTTTGAAGTCACCCAAGAAAAATGTTTACATGAACACGTGGGGCAGTTTTCCTATTGCATCCTGAAAGTATGATCCAAATGGAATTTGATCTCTGAGGAAGTAAAATTCACTGCTGTCCAGTTGATTGTGGCTCATAGCAACCCCATAGGACAGAGCAGAACTGCCTCTGTGGGTTCCCGAGACTGTAGCTCTTTGAAAGAGCAGAAAGCCTCATCTCTCTCCCTTGGAGCAGCTGGTGGTTTCGAACTTAACCTTGCAGTTGGCAGCCTAAGGTGTCATGTGCTGCACTATCAGGGCTCCATTTGCCAGCAGGCCTCAAGGAGACTTCATGCCACATTATGTCGAAGCTTGCATTTCGAATAGGTTAGAGACCAGTTGACCCAAATCTTGGAAGGAAGCCGTGATGTCCTCTTTTCTCAATGTTTCAGCATAACTCTTCTGCCAGCACTCTTCTTCCAAGGTGCTCTGGGTAAACTCAAGCAGCACATTAACTGCCTATACCCCGAGATCTTCTATTTTCCCTACTTACGCCATTCTTCACCAACTACTCTCCAGGAACAGTTTTGTGGAACACCATTCGCTTCAGAGAAAACCCTC